TACCTCTCACTGCGTGACAAAACTTTCTGTCAGCGATAGTCGGTTGATGCGTTGACGAGTGTCGAGTGAGTGTCATGATATTTTGCATCACTGGTTCAGAATGAAGTCCAATGTGACAGATACAGAGCGCAGTGAAAGAACAAGTAGTTCAACTGTGGGCCGAAACATCTTCAGGTAGGGAACACACATTATTGCATTGATACTTGCCTTGATGAGCAAGCTGGAAGACATCTTCTCGCACTCCAGACACAGGGCTAGGACGACTTGAACTGCATTGACAAAGAAACGGGTCGACTGTGCTAGGTGGATTAGAGGCTTCCATGTTGATTTCTAATGTGCGTTCCGGAGTTTCACTTTCAACTAGATCAGAATGACTGAAATTGCATACAACACGAATCGACGCGGCAGAGTTCAGTGGCATAGGGACCAGCGTGATTGTTTCTGAAATGCGTTCAGGTGCAACCAGAGGGGTTGGTTGGTTGGTTGTCTTTATTAAGGAGATTTTCAGCCAGACGCTGGTTCATCTCCGGACTGGTAAAGGAAATATCATCAGGAGAGACGTGGCTGAGCGAATTTTCGAGTACTTTCCTAGTACTGAAGTCTGGAAGACCCCTTTCACAATTCCAGAGAGAGACGGAATTACTCCGATGGCTGGAACAAGCGATCGGCGTGACTGTGGTGGACGGATCAGGGTGTTCCATATTACCTTCTACGATGCATCCGGGAAGCGAAGGAATAGAGATAGGTGATCTTAAGGAGGATTTGACCCATCCGATGGTTCTGCACGATTGTCTACGAACTTCTTGAACAGAATTCCTTCTGGCCACGAGTCAGAATTAATTCCCGTCAGGATTCCCGAAGTTCAACATTGATTCCAACTTTGAATGAAATGTAGTTGAATGAGTTCAGGTCTGCGCCATTTTCACTAATGGAACCACTTTCACAGCATCATTACAATCCAAAGCATCCGTTGCGAGCTTGGAAACGGTGTCAGCTTTCACGGACGGATGGAAATAAGAGAGGTTGATCCAGAATACATCTTGTGGCTGGACCAGCGATGATGTCACCACCTTCCAGAGATCTTGTACCTCCAATAAATGGTTTTACCGATTTGGTCTACTCATTGCTACTTCAGCCTGGTACGCAACTGAAAAGTAATGACGATTCTACGAGCTACGGGATAGGACACGGAATGCTAAAGAAATTACTTTCATTTAGCATTTCTTGACCCAGTACGCAGTTCTAAAGAAATCGGTAAAGAAAAGTTTTGTTTCTCTCATACAAACGTGTTCAACGCTTCATTTCTATAACGCCTAGCTAGACTATCAGCAAGACATGATAATGAAAAAGAAGCACACTTAAGGCCCACGCACATTAGATCCGGATCTGGCTGGCTGTAGATCTTCTCGTCGTTGCTTTGCTCATCGCTTTCAATGTAAGTAACGTCGATTTTCTAGTTAAACGAGTTATGGCTATCAATCCCCTTTCACGAACACTCTATCCCCGCTCTTTCAATTTGTTTAAAATGCGTTATGTCCCGTTTTCGTTAATTTTTTTAGATAAATATGTGGATGGAAGATAAATTAAACATATTACGTGTAATCTTCAAGTGTTTTCACGTGAGAAATCTTAAAATGTGTTATTTCATTTTCCGTCATATACGTCATGAAACCTCTGTTGATGTGTTTCATGAAAGAGAAAACTATCAAAGTCGAGCGCTCTTTCGCTCATCCGTTTCACCGAAGCTTGACCAATGGAGCGACGGGAGAAAGAGAGACAAGCGATTGAACATTTGTTTGTGCACGCCGACTGAGGTTCTAGAATGCTGCGAAGCTGTTCAACTTTAACAAAAAAAAAAAGAAAGCCAGCAGTCTCTTCGTCGCATCGATTTGGTCGATTGAAGTTGATATTGTGACGCCCTGGTACTGCGGGCAACAAGCTTGTGCAATTGATTTGTCTACTGAACTGCTAAAGGCCGACTAAAAATAAATTGATACGCCCCTCGCGCGCCGCTAGCACGTCTGTAATGCTGGGAATCGAAAATCTTAGACATTGGTTTGTTTACACTTCTATAGAGAACAACTGGTGCAAGTTTGATCAAAGTAGTCCACACCTGGAAAATCCGGAGTGGTCCGGTTCCAAGCTGACTAAAGTGCTGAAGATGCCGAAAACAACAGTTTGTTGAGTGCTCAAAACCAACATGGAAACCCTGAGTGTGGAAAGGAATCAGCGGACCTACGAAAAAACTGGAACCAGGGATCGTCAGCTGCGCAGTAAGGTGTTGACGTGCGTTAAAGCCAACCCCGGTCTTTCGATCCGAGATGTGGCCAGAAGGTACTGTAACGTCAACTTTCAAACGGTGCGGAACATCCTTGCCAGTGAAGGATGAAAGTCTTGCAGAGCCAGTAAACAACCGAACCGGCTTATGAAGCAGAATTTCGTGGCCAAAAAGCATGCAAGACTCTTGTACGACCGTGTTTTTTCGAAAAACAAGGGCTGCACTCTGATCGATGACGAAACATACGTCAAACTCAATTTAAGCAGCTTCTCGGTCCAAAGTTGTACAGCGAGACTGGACGTGGGGTGAGCCGGGAAGATTCAAGTTCGTGTTTTTCGATAAGTTCGCGAAGAAGGCCATGATTTGGCAAGCGATTTGCAGTTGTGGCCTGAAACGGAGATTATTCGTCACATCCCCGACGATGACATCCCAAGTTTACATCGAAAAATGCCTTAAAAGCGAGTATTACCGTTCATCCGCAAGCATATGGTCAAAGTCATCTTTGGGCCCGATGTGGTCAGCTGCCATTACTTCAAGCTGGTTCTGGTGTGGTATGCTGCCAACAAGATCGATTTTGTCCCCAAGCTAATGAATCATCCGAATTGCCGGCAAAATTCGACCAATTGAAAAATATTGTGCACTTTCAAAGCAGCGACTTCGACGAAGCGGCGGGCAGTCAAGGACATCCAGCAAATGCGGGCAAAATGGAACAAATGCGCTGATTCCGTGTTCGTTTCCACTGTGCGGGCGCTGATGGGCTCCATCAAGAGGAAGGATCGAGATTTTGTTTGAACTGGAAAAATGTAACCATCTAATGCTGTAACTTTGAGGTTGTAATAAAAGTACTGGAAAGCAACCATTAATGGACTTTTTTAAACTTATTGAATCACGAATTACAGGTCTTTTGTGCGTGCCATTTTACTTTTAGTCAGGCTTTAATAGTGCATCCCATAGGACAGAAGTTTCGTCAATATTTCCATCACTATGTTAAACAATATTTACGGGGAGTAATCTCGACTCCGAATATTCCATCGGATTACAACAATCTTAATGTGAAGCGACCCTTCACACTAACATTGATGTAATCCGATGGAATATTCGGAGTCAAATCACAACCACCTTGACAAAAGGGGCTGATGGACAGGCCCCATCTGCTGCTGTAGTAAAACATAAGGGGGAAATTAGAAGAAATATTGAAACATGAAATCAAGTATGAAGAGCTTTTCGAGTGTGTTGATTTATTTCCTTTTAATTATAATTGCTTATCTTTTGGTAGATACGCGTATTTCGTCTGTTGCTTGCAGACTTCATCAGTGCCAAGTACTCAACACCAGGGGTTCAATTCGATTCAATTATAATAGATGATGATTTTCAGCTCTTGATCCGTCTGAAAAATGTCCATAGAAAGCAATATCAACGAACACGCAATCCTGCAATGAAAGTTATCTTTAATTCCCATAATTCCAGTTTGGGTTCTATTGAGAATCAGATTGCTCGGGATTATCTGAATATGTTCTTTCGGGAAATCGGATTTCGCCATGGACAATCAACTACTCATCAACTCCTAAGAGTTACTAATTTAACAAATCTGAAGGCTGCTCTACTAGAGTTGCTCTTCTAGATATAGAAAAGGCATTCGACAGTGTTTGGCATGAAGCTTTGATTGCTAATTTGAAAAAGTTCAATTATCCACTCTATAACATGAAATAAATTTAAAACTATTTACCTAACAGAACTCTGCAGGTAAATTATCAAAATTTTAAATCTGAATGACTACCTGTTAGAGCAGAGATTCCTCAGGGTATCATTCATGGGCCTATATTGTAGAAAATTTTCACTCCGGGCCTACCTGATTTGCCTCAGGGTTGCCAAAAATCTTTGTTCGCTGATGACACAGGCATTTCCACTAAAGGAAGAAGTCTTCGCGTAGAGAAACAGTAGGGTCATAAAGGTAACTCTAAGACCAGAAGGTCCAGAAGAAACGAGCTCAACTTTTTGGCTCAGCTCTGGTACTATCTTCGGTCCCAAGTTAATCGATGCACCCCTAGAAACATATGAAAATCCATAAACCCCTCATTTTATCTGTCAAACTTTCATAGAGAATCAAAACAAACATAGTGTAGTACTAGAAGTTCGACTAGAATGGGGTACGTTAATAGATTTGCTTGGGACCAATAGGCTAGTAAAGTAGTGCGCCAATTTAAAATCGTTAGTTTCGTATTGATTGTTGGAATGCGCTAACCCATCACAGGAGAGCGCATTTCATTAGTATTGTCGCATCAATGGCCCTTCGCTCAATTTCAACTTCTGTTCAATTTTTACACTGCCGCACTTTAACGGAACTATCAATCTATCCTCTTTGGACCATTATCTATGTAGTTAATAAATTTCTCCCAACTCTGTAATCGTAAGCTTCACGTATAAAGCAACAAACCGTTTGATTGAATTGTTTAGATTCTTTATAATTGAAATTGGTGTTTGCTTAGTTATTTCAGAGTATCCAGATATTTCTAGATTTTATATTTTAGCTGGACAAGCTATTCATTAAACTGACATGGTAACACTGTTTGGGGCACGGATTTCTGCGTTTGAAGGTCTAGGAAGTATAAGGATTGTCTGAAGGTGTTCTTATTGAACAATTTATCAGACGAAATAGCAACTCTTATTCCAGAGTATTTCAACGCAGTGGAGTTCTTCAATGTCAACAATCAACAACCATTATCCTCTTGGCATCACTTATCCTCCTTATCAACTAAATCTAAGTACAAAAACTAAACTATATAACTTACTGACTTTGTTCACCCCCAAAACCATCCTCCTCAAACATGCAGAATCTCCGTCGTGGCCGCCTGCCTCGCCATCACGTCATTCTTCACCAGCACGGCCTTATCGGAGGAAGCTATCGACGCCGGGTCGTCACTTTTCTCGAAATCCACCGACGACGACGACGACCCCGTTGACTTTGGCTGGATGAAGCTGATCACGGTGAGCAGTACTATCAGGAACACCAGCATGGTTAAGTACACTCCCAACAGGACCGGTTCCCGGTACGATGAACCTCCGTGAGAGACGTCTGGTTCGCAAACAATCATCGGAGGGTCCTGGACCATTTCTTCCAGTCCGACGGAGAGCGCCTCACCATCGTCATCGTCGTCCCCTTCTGAGGCAGATTTTGGTCGCTTGCCGTGACTGTGGGGCATCGTGGTGGCCCCGGAGGTGTTGAGGACAATCGGCGCCGAGCGGACCAGCGTTTCGGTTTGCTGAAAATACAATAAAACGATAATTTGCCAAAAGCGGTGTTATTTTGGGGCATAATTATGAGCTGGTAATTAAATCTTACGCCGATAGCATAAATCAAGACCGTGATAGAGCAATAAAAACTTAAAGACTTGTTTTGTCGAGCTAACAGCAGTCAGTGCGAATTCGACGTTTGCTACGTCTGGGTTTGGTCGATTTTCTAGACGGGCAATAAAATTACCATAATTAGACTGGGGGGCCTCCTAATGGTCGTCGTGCGGAACGCGATAATATCAAAGGCGATAAAATATTTCTTTAAATGGTGTTATAAAAGGCTGGTCTGTGCTTCCTACCTTGTTCCGACAGGTGACCTGCACCCGGTAGTTGGTTTCGGGCCAGAGCGATAGCTGCACGGTGGAGGATTCGGTCAGCAGGTTGCCCATCAGTCCACCGCCGGAAACTTCCCACGTCACCAGACATTGTTGCTGTTGGGTTCGATTGGTCCTGGGTCGGCTGTCGGCTGCATTGACCCAGGCGACATCTGCTGTGACGAGGGACTCGTTGCGGGTCATCTGCAGCAGAACCAGCGCTAGCCGGTGGGAAGAGTCTCGGCTGGATGGTGACAGATTTTCCAGGATACATTTCCGTTGGCACTGCAGTGGAAGAAGGGGAAAGATGGAATTAGGCATTGTAAAGAAAGAAGTAAGGAAGGAGTTTGACTCTGAAAATCACTCCAAATTGTAGCAATTGATGCAAGTTAAAGCTCTCAGCGCAAGATACACAATCTTCAAAAGTCAATCCCCTCGTCCATTCAGAGCAACAATGTATTGTCGGGCTTAAAGCCCTGCCAGCAGCAGCAAGTGATTTGAACTCCCCCTCTCCCCCTCAACATGCAAGCAGGTCGGCGAAGAAAAGAAAAAGTACTCTCCAGAGTAGCGAGTAATATATTACCCATCGAGCTGGAGTCCATTCAATCCTTTAGGCCTCTCGCTGGTTCGCAACATTCTCGAGAGAAGGAACCACCGACCGCCGGCCGTCCCCATACGTTTCAGCCTGACGACGACGATGACGACGATGACTACGACAACATTGCACTGTGGGCCAGGAATTTAGCAGGAAAAATTAAAAACGCTGTAAAGTTTCTTGGCTTTGTTTGTTAGGGACTACACTAAATAAGACTGTTTGTGTGAATTTCGTGTAAATTCTGAGTTGACATCACGAGATCTTTGATATACAGGGTGTTCGGTTCCATAGTGCAAATAATTTAAGGGCTGATAGAAAGTAAAAAATTGTTCTACGCATATGATCAAATCTCAAAGGTTACTGAGTTATTGAACTTTGTGGTAGGGTTGAATTCGTGTTTTACGCAACCGTTAATTAACAACCCAACATGATGTGTTTAGTACGAAATTGCGACAAAACTAAACAAGAAAGAAAATTGGTGTCAAAGAGAGAGTTGTATTATTTTTGAAATAATAAGGGAAAACCCATAAGAAAACACATGTTTTAGACACGTTTATCCCTAAAATGTGTCTAAATGTAGCTTACTTAAAGTAGAAATGACACTATTAAGTAGAAAATTTACCAAGCTGTCCAATGGAGGCAAGAGTTTTGTGCTAAATGGCATAGTTTTCTAGTTAGAACCAATTTATGGCCAATTTAGATCAAAACAGTTCAATAACTTAGTAATCTTTGAGATTTCTTCGAGAAGCGTCTCCTAGCGGCGGCTCTCTGGATAGACCATTCTCAATGCTGGATTTCTCTATGGCTCTTCTTTCATCGAACAACTCCTCACCGGGAAGCGATATGATTAAATTCAATCTTCTGAAAAATCTCCCAGGTATCGCTAAAAGACGCTTGCTAGATTTATTCAATTCCTTGCTAGAAAACAACATTGTACCGCCTGAATGGAGACAGGTCAAAGTAATAGCCATTAAAAAACCTGGCAAATCAGCGTCTGACCATAACTCATACCGTCCGATTGCTATGCTTTCGTGCATTAGGAAATTGTTGGAGAAAATGATCCTTCGGAGACTCGATCACTGGGTCGAATCAAATAACTTGCTATCAAATACACAGTTTGGGTTCCGCAAGAGCAAAGGAACAAACGATTGTCTAGCGCTGCTTTCCACAGATATTCAACTGGCCTTTGCACACAAGGAGCAATTGGCTTCAGTATTCTTGGACATTAAGGGGGCTTTTGATTCAGTTTCCATTGAAATTCTGTCAGACAATCTGCACAGATGTGGACTTTCTGGAATTTTAAATAATTTTTTGTACAATTTGTTGTCAGAAAAGCAAATGAACTTTTCCCTTGGACAACTGACAACTTCCAGAATTAGCTACATGGGCCTGCCCCAAGGCTCATGTCTCAGCCCTCTTCTTTATAACTTTTACGTCAAAGATATCGACAACTGTTTGGCAGAACAATGCACGCTAAGACAACTTGCAGATGACGGTGTGGTTTCCGTAAGAGGTCCACATGCCGTGGACTTGCAAGGACCATTGCAAAATTCCTTAGATAACTTGTCTTCTTGGGCTATGAATCTAGGGATCGAATTCTCGCCGCAGAAAACTGAACTGGTAGTGTTTACTCGAAAGCGGTACCCAGCCCAAATGCATCTTAATCTTTTGGGCAGAAACATTACTCAATCATTGTCTTTCAAGTACCTTGGGGTCTGGTTTGATTCAAAGTGCACTTGGAATGCCCATATTACGTATTTGAAGCAAAAATGTCAGCAGAGGATCAACTTTCTCCGTTCAATTTGCGGCACATGGTGGGGTGCTCATCCGGGAGACCTCATAACGCTTTATAAAACAACTATTCTCTCTGTTCTAGAGTACGGCTCTTTCTGCTTTCTCTCGGCAAGAAAAAGTCACCTAATAAAATTGGAACGAATTCAATATCGTTGTCTGCGTATTGCTCTAGGCTGTATGCACTCAACGCATAACATGAGTCTCGAGGTTCTGGCAGGAGTAACACCCCTCCAGAACCGTTTCTGGGAGCTCTCTCTCAGAATACTAATCAAATGCGGAGTGACGAACACACTTATAATTGCTAATTTTGAAGAAATTCTTGGGTTGAACACACAATCTCGATTTATGAGAATCTACCACCACTACATATCATCAGATATGTGTCTTCCTTGTTATACTCCAGACCGTGTTCACTTCACCAATCGCAGTTCCTCAATTGAATATGATCTGACCATGAAACAAGCAACTCATGGGATTCCCGATCAACTTCGACCTATTATTATCCCACGTATTTTTACTGAAAAGTACCAACAAGTCAATTGCATGAAAAGATATTTTACAGACGGGTCCCGTCTCAATGGATCCACTGGCTTCGGTGTCTTCAATGAAAACTCTAGCGCCTTCCGCAAACTTCAGGAACCTTGTTCCGTTTTTGTTGCTGAGCTGGCAGCAATCAACTTCGCATTGGGGATGATTTCCAATATGCCCACAGACCATTACTTCATCTTCTCGGATAGTCTCAGTTCGATTGAGGCTATTCGGTCGATGAAACAAGGTAGGCACTCATCTTATTTCCTTTCAAAGGTAAGGGAGCAGATGTGTGTGCTGGTCGAAAGATCATATATGATTACCTTTGTATGGGTCCCCTCACATTGCTCAATCCCAGGCAATGAGAAGGCGGACTCTCTCGCAAAGGTGGGCGCGCAGGAAGGCGAATTGTATGACAGGCAAATTTCACACGATGAATTTTACCATTTAGTACGTCAGAGTACCCTTTCGAGTTGGCAAACCGATTGGGACACTGGAAATCTTGGACGGTGGTTACATTCAATTATTCCTAATGTTTCTTCGAGAGCGTGGTTTAAAGGCTTGGGCTTAAGTCGTGACTTCATTCGCGTGATGAGTAGACTTATGTCCAACCACTACTCGCTAGATGCTCATCTCAATAGAATAAACCTCGTGGACAGCAACATCTGTCGGTGTGGAAACGGTTACGATGACATCGAACACGCAGTTTGGCAATGTACGGATAATGACGCCGCCAGAGAGCAACTTTTGAATACCCTCGAGGCCCAAGGAAGACAACCCTATGTTCCTATCAGAGACGTGTTGGCAACCCGTGATCTCTGTTATATGCAGTCCGTTTATGTCTTTCTTCAAATGTCTAGTATAAGAATTTAATTCCTTTTGTCTTTTGTCTCTCTTTATTAGTTTTTGTTTGTCTTGTCCCCCCGTCTCGATGAGTCTCATCGTCGCCCACTGGTCACCCACCATAGCCGGTCAAACTCCGGACGAAGCTAGAACAGCACTACCGTTCATACTGGCGACAACGCTCTGATGAGACAACGAAACCCTACCCCAAGCTCCTCCCCTGATCCTTTCCTTCGAAAATGTACCCTTCTAACCTCGAGTAAGCCGCGAGTAATCGGCCCAACTCCTACTAGACATAGAATTAAGTGAATTTTGTTACACACAGTGAACAATGAATTATCGGCTCCGTAAAGCTAACGCGATTGAGCCTTCCAAATAAACGAACTAGATAAAAAAAAAAATAATCTTTGAGATTTGATCATATGCGTAGAACAATTTTTTACTTCAAATATGATCTTCTATCGCCCCTTAAATTATTTGCACTAAGGAACCGAACACCCTGTATACAAAGTTACTGTTTTCCACAATGTTGTTCAGGAGGCCAAGGCCTTTTGAATTATTGACAGCTAAATTCAGAATTCTCACTTCAGGTGGCACTAGTATTCTAATAAACCCTCGTGTACATGCAGGGTCAACATCTCGAGATCCTTGCTAGTTACACATTTACTGTTTTCTGCACTGTTGTTCAGGAGATCAAGACCCTTTTAATCGTTGAAAGTTTAGTTCGGAATTCCCTCGATAGGTGGCGCTAGTGATCTTATAAATATCGTGTGCATGCAGGGTCGACATACCGAGATCCCTGCTAGATACAAAGTTACTGTTTTCTGCAATGTTGTTCAGAAGGATGGATGGACTTTTTAATTGTGGACAGTTTAGTTGGGAATTCTCTTGCTAGTGGCACTATTTTTCATAGAAATTTAATGTTAATGCAGGCTCAATATGTCTAGATCCATGCTTGATACAATGTGGTGCTGTTCTCTGCAATGTTTTTGTGGAGGTTAATGCTTTTTTAATTGAAAATTCAGTTCGAAATTCTCTCGATAGGTGACACTAGTGTTCTTATGAATTTCGTGCAAATGCTGGGTCAATATCTTGAGATCATTGCTAGATACAAAGATGCTGTTTTATGCTATGTTGTTCAGGACCTTTTGAATTTGGGACAGTTTAGTTCGGAAATATTTTGCTAGGTGGCACTAGCGTTATAATAAGTTATAAAATTTCTTACAATATCTGTTTAACAATATCTCAACAATTTGTGACTCTTTATTAAATCCAGCATTACGTGTGCAAAGGTAAATAAATTTAAAAGTCACCTGTCGTAGAATGATTCCATTTTGTTGATCACTTCCACCCAAGGGGTGAGACAGCTTTACTCTTGCTTTTTTCCAGCGAGTAACTCGCGAGTAAATAACTGTACCTCACAATTTAATCGACTTTAATCGAAGTTTTTATCTGGTTATTCCTTGGCTTACTCCGTTTAGCGCTTTCACCCATTAGACGTAAGTCTTGTTTGTAAACAAAATAT